TGATTTATACATCAATACACTGCTTGAAACATATAAAAAATTCCCATTTTATTTTTAACAGTATATAATCAATAAGTATAATTAACAGGAACCTGCTATATCAGAAAGTAGGAGGACATTTATTATTTTGGGGCTCCAGAAATTTAAAGAATTCAATTTCATAACATACATTTTAATCTCAAGTAAGGTCATACCTCTGATACTTAAGTACTTAATACTTCAGAGTTGAGATTAAGCTGAGATGTTGTATATGTTTATAAACGAAATTATGGCATACCAACAAATTTTTAAAAGACAAGAATGTACTCCCCCCACCCCCAATATAATGTATGCTTCCCAGATTTTTTTCAATTTTCATTTAAAAAATTCATTGGTACTTAAGCCATACTGGCTGCTGAAATGTCTAAGATAAGCATTCAGAACTGGGAGTAGCTCACTAGTTAAGAAGTAAACCTGATTGACATAGCCTTTGAAAACATATCCTAACGCATTAGTGAGGTTTTTTTTGCAAAGCAATGTGAGATGCTTCTAACGTAGAAAATCCCCAGTATACTACTTAGGGGTATGTTTATATATTGTTTCTGGCCCTGGCCGGGTAGCTTAATTGGTCCTGCTACACTAAGGTTGTGGGTTCAATTCCCCTAAAAGGGTACATACAGGAATCAACCAGTGAATGCATTAATAAGTGAACAACAAATCAATGTTTTTTTTCTTCTCTCTCCCTTCCTCTCTTCTCTCTAAAATAAATAAGAAGTAAAATATATATTGTTTCCCTTTTGGTTAGTTCAATAGAGAAAAAGAGTGCATTAAGGTAGGTTGTAGTTATAACAGAAAAAGCAGGAAGAAAAAGAAAGCAAATTTTCCTTTTTGTAGATTTTGAAAGTACCCATCCAAAGAAAAGAAAACAGAAAATTGCAGAAATGGGTATATTTCTAGTACATATAGACAAACCCTTTAACATGAATGAATGTTTTATCACTAAGTCTGTTTTCCATGTCATACCAAGGAAATCCAATGCCAGGAGGACACCAATCCCATCTCATCCGGTTTTTCTGCTGTAAAAAATACCTCTGCCAATTGAAGTCCATTTTCTGGCCAGTTTGCCTTTAAAAAATTTTACAAACAATTAAAAATAATGATTTATGCCATTGGGAGAGTCTTAAATGCATTTTCAATGCTAATTACACAAATTACCTTATCAGTTAATTCAAGGTTCCTGGCTGCTTGCTCCAACCATTTTGCAAGAATTTTCTGAAATAGATATATTATTTAAAAATAGAATGCTCAATTACTTCATCACCAAAATAACTTAAAACATCCATGATAATCTTTCAAAAGAGACAGTAAAATGAACTAACTGGTGTTATGTGACTTAATGTTCAATGATATGATGTAAAAAATAAAACGGAGTCACCAAAAGTGGAAATACTAAAGGCGACTCACCTGTCCATCCGGTACAATCCTTCTTACAAACGGGATCACGTCATTTTTAAGCCAGGGACAGAGCTTTTGCAAGGAGACTGGTGTAGAAATCGAGTTGAGCAAGTTCTCAAGCATTTTCACATCAAATCTGCTTTCAAAATTTGCCTAAACCATACAGAGTGAGAAATTAAGGTTTACCTACCAAATTGAAACTGACAGCCTCCCAAAAAGGAAAGACCTCTTAGGAAGTCATTTCAAGAATTGTTTTACTATTTTGACAAGCATCAAAGGTGGTTTACTCTAGACAAATGAGTTGAGCTGGGAGCCACAAATTTCATGAATCTCCTGACAGAAAATTCCTAATAACAAATTAAGTGGCAGAGGAACTGGTATGGGTGGTCTTCCAAGGAAAATGTAATTGGAGGTGACAATACAGATCCTAGCAATGTGTCCACTGATGACATCACACCCAGAAAACTCCTTTTTGGACCGAACTTTATATGCCAACAATTTTCCCTTTACCACAGTCTGGTCTGCAATAGAAATACCTTCTCTACCAGTGCTACATAAGAAAGCCCATGGTCAGGGGGTAGTGGAGGAAAAAGTGGAAATTGGTAATACCTTCAACAATAAAGAAATGTTTTTAAAAAGCCCACCAATTAATCACTTAATAAAATGTTGCTTTTGAGCTAAGTTTAGGAGTTAATTAGACTCTGACTGATGAGATAAAGTAAGCTCCTATTATTTATATATATAAAAGCCTAAATGACCACTACGACTGGTTGACTGGTCACGATGATGTGCACTGACCACCAGGGGGCAGATGCTCAACGCAGGATCTGCCCCCTTGTGGTCATTGCACTCCCAAGCTAATCTCCTATGGCCAGCCAACCTCCCGCAGCCCCTCCCCACAGCCAGCCGGCCCTAATGGGCCCCGATTGCTGGCCAGGCCGAGGGACCCCACCTGTGCATGAATTCGTGTACTGGGCCTCTAGTATCTTTATAATATTTCCTCTGAGTTAATATCATCACAGAATAGTTTACTCTGGGAAAGGTCATATTTTATCAATGTGAAAACATCCCATTGCCAAGTTGCATTTGCCACCCTGTTAGTTCCCAGCACTGATTCAATCACCTATCTTAGGGGTTATAAAGCCATTAAGAAAGAAAAAAAAAGCAAAACGTATTACCCGATGTCTAAGCCAAAGGTACTGTGCACAAACAAGGTTTCCTTCTCGTAACTGCAAAAAAATATCCTTAAGGTCATCTTCATTATTCAGAAACTCAATCCAAGAACTACCACTGCAAAGTCAAAGAGAGGAAAAAAGTTACTAGTTTAAAAAATATTATTAAGGTTATTAGTTACAAGTGGATATCACTATGCATTTTAACTAGTTTCCCCCGCCCCCAAAGTTATTAAAAAGTTCCGAAGATTAAACAGTGAAAAGTAAGTTTCCTTCTGATCTCTGACCTATGAGCCTCCTGTATTGTCCCTGGAAGTCATGTCTCTTCTTGCAGGTCCTTCCTGAGATAATGACTAAATACACAAGCCACCATTTTTAATTTTTAAAGGAATGAGAGTTTTCTTTATATACTATCTGTACTTAAAAAAATTCATACAAGCATTTCCACTAATGTCAGGTACAAGAATACCTATTAACCACTGTTATTTATTATTTTATAAGCACCAGTCAATCACCTTAGGTAAGGGGGAAAAATGAGGCAAAATTATCATTATTCAAATATATAATTATATACTTGGAAAGAACAGAGCAATTGAAATATTGCCATGAATAATAAATTCAGTAAGGCAGCTGGGTAAAAATTAATTTTAATACTTCTCTATGTTCTCCTGAAAATATGAGGGGGAAAAGTCCCATTTGTAACAGTAGAGGAAAAAAGATAAAACAAAATTTTAACAAAAAAAGTACAAAATTTATATAAAGACGAGTGAATTGATACCACTCAGGAACATAAAAACGGGAGAGAATGAGTAGAAAGACACATACTGTCCTTAACTAGGGAGATTCAATATTGTAAAGATGCTGTTTCTCCCCAAATTGATGTTAGGCTAAGCACATTCCCAATTAAAATAAAAATAAGATTTCTGCAAACTGCGTAAGCTGATTCTGATTTCAAATGTCATACAAAAGAAAAAAAATACAACCATGAGAAAATAGCCCTCCAAATCCTGAAAATAAAAATAAAAACTACCTAAGTTAAAACTATTTGATACTGGTGAGTGAATAGGGAGATGAGATCAATTGAATACAATTAAAACCCAGAGATAGACTTAAATACATGTGAGATTTTTAGCACGTGATTAAGGGAACATTTCAATTGGCAGTGAAAATGTACGTCATTTAATGAGAGTATTGGAATAAATGACTAGCCACAAGGAAACAATAAATCTTCCCTTCATTTTCACTTATCTTGATAAACACACTGTGTGATCTTTAGGGTAGTTATACTTGTAAATAATAGTATTCTTGGTGCACATGTTAGTACATCTAATAAAATCTATTTCCAGATGTGAAATTGCTAAGGCAAAAGCTATATGCATTCAAATTTGCCTTTCCAATGTATCAATTTCCACACATGATGTAGGAACTGCCTAAAGCTTAGCAGGGACAAATATTTTCCATCCTCAGAAACATAATTCATTCGTAGCAATATTGTATCTCTTCTGACATTCCAAATTTAAATCTAATTCACTATCTAAACATTAAAAAGGAGGAATGCACACACCTGAATTTTTCTGGTCCAAATGCTCCATAAAAAGTAGTCAATTTTTCATGAGCCCTTAGAACCTAAAAAGGAATAACAGATCATCTGCATGCTGTGTGCAGTAATATTAAAATGAGACCTTCTGTTGGAGAAGGCTTACACAAGCCTCATCCTGTCGATTCCCATAAGTGTGACTGCCTTATTCAACACAAAACAAAAAAAGAGTTGGAATAAAGGAAACATTTCCAATCACATTCAATACAATAAAACTGCAAAAGAGAGGAAGCCATTAGCACATTAACTGTGGGTGCCTTCAAAAGCAATTAGTGTTCCACTAATTTATAAATGCCCTCAGGGTAGAACCTAGCTAGATTATACCAAAAATTTACTTTGAGAGTTAAAATATATATGCACATGTGTACACACACACACACACACACACACACACACTTTTTGTATCATAACAATCATCATTCCAGTTGACATTTATTTGCAGGCTTAACAGGTGCCAGGCACTATGCAAAAATTGATTTATCTAAATAATTTCATTTGACCTCAAAATAACCCTCTATTTGGTTATTAAAGTTACTCTTGAAAAATACTACAGGCCTATCTCTAATTGAAAAATATACTGCCATGAGCTGCATAATGTTTCAGTCAATGACAGACCACACATACGATGGTGGTCCTGTAAGATTATGATGGAATTGAAAAATTCCTACAGCTTAGTGACATCATAGTGCAACGCATTACCCACATATTCGTGGTGATGCTGGTGGAAAGAAATCTACTGCACTGATAGTCACATGGAAATACAGTACATGTGTTATGTATAATACTTGATGATAATGAATGACTATGTTTCTAGTTATGTATTGACTATACTTACTTTTTATTGTTTAGTGTACTCTTTCTACTTATCTAAAAACAGCTGGCACCCGGCTGGTGTGGCTCAGTGGTTGAGCATAAACCCTGGAACCGAGAGGCTGCCAGTTCGATTCCCAGTCAGGACACATGCCCGGGATGCGGACTCAAATCTCCAGTGGGGGGAGTGCAGAGGCAGCCAATCAGTGATGTTCCTCTCTCTCATTGATGTTTCTATCTCTCTATCCCTCTCCCTTCCTCTCTCTAAAAATCAATGAAACATTAAAACAAAAGTTTGCTGCACCAAGTGCCCATCAGTAGATGAGTAGTTCAAAACCTGTGGTACATTTACACAATGGAATACTGTTGGCCATAAAAAAAATAAAAATAAATAAATCTTACTCTTTGTGACAGCATGGAGAGACCTGAAGAGCATTATGTTAAATGAAATCAGCCAGTCAGAGAGAGACAAGTACTATATGATCTCTCTCATATGTGCAATCTAATGAACAAAATGTACTAACAAGCCAAAGAGAGATAGACCCATAGAGAGAGAGCAGGCTGACAGCCATGGGGTGGGGGGCTTGGGAGGCTGAGTGGGGTGGTGGTGGAGGCATTGAGGGAAAAAAGAGGAAAAAACTCAAGGACATGGACAACAGTGTGGGGAAGGAGGGGTGGGGGGAGCTGGAGGCGGGCATAGGGGGCATAAATGGTGATGGAAACCTGACTTGAGCACACATACACGATACAGTGTACAGATGATGTGATGTGGAATTGTGCACCTGAAACCTGTATAATTTTGTTAACCAGTGTCACCCCAATAAGTTCAAGAAAAAGGAAAAAAAAGTTTTCTGTAAAGCAGTATACCACATTCTGCAGCAGCAGCCTCATCCATGCTGTTTACTGCAGTTCTTGACTGCATCATTTTCTCTTGTGCTTGATTTCATCTCATGTTGTTTTATACTCTAATGTAGCCTAACTGTGCAGTGTTTCTAAAGTCCACAGTGGTGGACAGAAAGGTCCTAGGCTTTCACACTCATCACCATTCACTCACTGATTCATCCAGAACAACCTCCAATCCTGCAGGTTCCACCCATGGAAAGTGCCCCATAAAGGTACTGGTTTTTATCTTTTATACAGTATTTTTACTGCACATTTTCTATGTTTAGATATGGCGCAAATACTCACTGTTGCTATTAAGACGGCCTCCAGTATTCAGAACAGTAACATGCTGCACAGGGTGTAGTCTAGGAGCAACAGGCCAGGCTATACGATATAGTAGACTGTACTTCACCTAGGGTTTTGTGGTGTGTTTTTTTTAAATTTTTTAAGAATTTATTTGAGCCAAACTGATGACGTATGCCAGGAAGCAAGAGCTCAAATGCTCCTGTACCATCTAGGTTTGTGTAAGTGCCTCTGTGGTCTTCGCACGATGACCACATCACCTAATGACACATTTCTCAGACCATTAAGTGGTGCCTGACTGTAAAGTATATTCACTCGAAAATTAATCCATAAATATAATGTAATTACCTCTTTTAAGCCATAAGAATAGACAAGAACAGTTCTGTCTTCTTTTTTCAAAAGCTAAGATGAACAAGAAACACAGTTAGAATATCTGCTGTTAGGTTTTTCATGAAAGATGAGTATTTTTGTGAATTAAAGGAAAAATTCTCTCTAAAAATAAAATTGCATCAAACTTTGAAATAAATAGTGAACAATAAAGAAATGACCTATCTTAAAAAGCAATGCGTTTTATGAGAGAAGCTCGGAACATTTTGCCCATCTGTTACACCTGGATTTTAAGGAATATAACTAGCAGTGGTGTTCAAAGGTCACTGAGAAGAACAGTCAACAGCAAAAATACACTTTTTAAAAGGCCTATGATAGAAAAAGAACTCGTTATTTTTGAAATTATTTGTTTTGCATAAGACAAACACGTTTTAAATGTTATGAAAACGTACCCTGGTTTTGGCATAATTTAGCATTTCCTGGGTCGTTTCATAGGTTATCCACTGAGCCTCCAAGCAGTAATTCACCACAAAGTCATCGTCCTGTTGCATAAATGCCAGACATAGTTAGGTGACCTAACGATGACCCATCTGTCGATCCGGACACGCGAACACATGGCAGGAAAACACACCTGGATTTTCCGTAGCGTCTCCTTAGCCTCATCGACAAGTGTCTGCCATTCGGTCTGCTCACTGGTGTCCACAGAACTCAAAGCGAGTTTCTCCAATATATCATTTGATTTTACCTTGTAAACAAGCTGTAATATAAACACGCCACATCAAGTACCTTGAAGCCAAAAATGCTGTCTCTCTTCTAGCATCTGGTACATGAAAAAAAATGTTTTTCAATGAACAAATAAATCCACGAGTGATTACCTCAACATCCAGCCCAAACTGAATGGCAAAGCTCTCGGCTTCAGCAAATTTGTGTTTGTGAAGTAACCGACTCAATCTGTGAAGCGGGGGGAAAAATTTCGGTAAAATTTTTATGAATCGCAGGATTTAAGTTTTTCATGAAGGGATAAGGGTTAAAGGAAAACGAGAAGTTACCTGTTTTCTGGTAAAGCTTCTGTAAGACATCTGAGTACTAAGACAGAGACGGAGTCTTCAGGGAGCCTGAAAAAGAGTTTTCACTCTAAGTGCATTTGTCGTTCATATTAATAAGTAAAATTTAACTTAGCTGTTAGTTAACAACTTATCTGATGAAACAAAGCATGACCTACTCTGGATCATTTTTGCAAATTCCCTCCAGAAGGTATATGGTATCCTACAACAATAACAAAAACATGTTTAAAATTAATGTACAGAATTAGTTCATTTTTAAAATAGTAACAGGAGTTTTCTCATTTTTTAAAAATTTTTATTATTATTTTTTAGTTCACACCCGAGGATATTTTCCCATTGATTTTTAGAGAGTGGAAGAGAGAGGGAAAGACAAAGAAATATCGATGTGAGAGAAACACATCGATTGGTTGCCTGCTGCACAAGCTCTGACCAAGGCCGGGGGAAGATCCTGCAACTGAGGTACGTGCCCTTGACTAGAATTGATCCCAGGACCATTCGGTCTGCAGGCCTATGCTCTATCCACGGAACAAAACTGGGTAGGGTCAGAATTAATTCATTTTATAGTTACTAGAGTAACAACTGGTTTAGGCAAAAGTTATCTATCAATGGAATTCTAAAATCACTGGGAAAACTGTTGGGGAAAAGAATATTCCCGTAGCCCTGACCGGTTTGGCTCAGTGGATAGAGCGTCAGCCTGTGGTCTCAAGGGTTCCAGGTTCAATTCCGATCAAGGGCATGTACCTTGGTTGCAGGCACATCCCCAGTAGGGGGCGTGCAGGAGGCAGCTGATCAATGTTTCTAACTCTCTATCTCCCTTCCTCTCTGTAAAAAATCAATAAAATATATTTTTTAAAAAAAGATCACAGTTAAAAATTAAATAAAAACAGTATCTCTCTGCCTCGTTATCATCTAAATTTCTTGTGAAGACACAAGAAAATGGAATGTGCAATTGACTGATATTTTATTTGATTAATTTTCTGTTCTTTTTTTTAAAATGAAGACTGACCTTGGGCAAATGTATTTGAGGATATATGACAACAATAAATATAGTTATAAACCTGTGATCTACTCAGGTATTCCACTAAATTCCACTCAGGCTTAGCTTATTCTTAATTTTGTAAATATAAAGTAGTTCAAAATGTACATCAACTTACTGTGCTAATTCCTGTTTGGACCAGAGAAGAAACACCCGATACTTCCAAAGAGTACAGTATTTCCATCATAGGTAATGAATACACCATGAAACTTTTCATCTGGGAAAAAGAAAGTAGAGCAATTAATTTAGTAGGTCAACATCAACCTCCGAGCACAAGCCAGCACTTCACAATAAGGACACAATGAAAACACTTGGTACAGAGCAACATGCAAAAACTAATTTTATAAGTAAGTCAGTTACTGTATTACGTAAATGTTACATATAAAATTATGTTCTATCCCACCTTCCAAATCTGAAGAATGAAAATCCACATAGCTCAAGTCCATTCTACAATCTGTATTTAAGGTGAATGTAATCCTTCAGTGTCAGAACTATGTAAGAGTCACTTTATTTTTAAATATATTTTTATTGATTTCAGAGAGGAAGAGATAGAAACATCAATGAGAGAATCATGGGTCAGCTCCCTCTTGCACGCCCTCTACTGGCGATCGAGCCCATAACCAAGGAAAGTGCCCTGACTAGAAATTGAACTGTGACCTCCTGGCTCATAGGTTGATGCTCAACCACTGAGCCACCCTGGCTGGGCAGGAGTCACTTTAATAAACATTCTCTTGTGGACATTTTATTCCTAAAATGCCCCAACTAAAATGTAGAACCGGGATTTATATCCATATTTTTTAAACAGGAAAAAAAGAACTCTTGCAGGGTTATTTCTGATTTGTGAAGGGTCTGCATGAACTAAGTGCTAATATGTCGTGAACATCACCTAACAACTACGTTTATATTAATGCTATTTCTAACATATAATATGAAAACACAACGTGAAACAAATTTTCTAGTACCTTCTTATTAGTAGATGTCAGAGCTACTAATTTGAGATTTGTAATCCCTTGCCTAAAAGAGAAAAGAAGGGTTAAGTGAATCACATAAGGTTTGTAAGCTAAGTCAAAGTGACATTCTGCATAAAATTTAAAATTCATACACAGATGACAGTGAACTTGATTTCTACACATTATGGTACAGAAGACTGACACTTTTTTTTATGAGTCATTTTTTTAAAAATATATTTTATTGATTTTTTACAGAGAGGAAGCGAGAGAGATAGAGAGCCAGAAACATCGATGAGAGAGAAACATCGACCAGCTGCCTCCTGCACACCTCCCACTGGGGATGTGCCCGCAACCAAGGTACATGCCCTTGACTGGAATTGAACCTGGGACCTTTCAGTCCGCAGGCAGACGCTCTATCCACTGAGCCAAACCAGTTTGGCTATGAGTCATTTCTTATCTGGATGCATAACTCAAGCAAGATGCAAACTTCCTCTGCTTGCCCATTGGCTTATTTATTTTGGACAGACACTCTAACACAATCACTGGAAGGTTCGTATTGCCTGTTCTCAATGAGCTTGGCCAACAATGACATGGTCTTTACCCTGTCGGTCTGTTCACAGTGCTACTTAGGATGCGATATATAGTGAATGATGAGATCAGAACTGGGCAAGAAACCTGGTCCTAACAGAAGGGCAAGCCCTACCAGCATCACAACGTACCGCGTGACTGAAGAAGGCGAATCTGCTTCGGTGGTAAGAAGGAACTCTTCTACGTGAAGAGAGGGCCAGTTCCATATGGGAATTAGAGTGTAAATATCCCATAAGCTCAGCACATTCTGCAAGAGAGACATTTCATCGACACGTCTTCTTTTTTTTTTTTTAATATATTTTATTGATTTTTCACAGAGAGGAAGGGAGAGAGACAGAGAGTCAGAAACATCAATGAAAGAGAACCATCAATCAGTCGCCTCCTGCACATCCCCCACTGGGGATGTGCCCGCAACCCAGGTACATGCCCTTGACCGGAATCGAACCCGGGACCCTTCAGTCCGCAGGACGACGCTCCATCCACTGAGCCAAACCGGTTTCGGCGACACGTCTTCTTAATGACTAAAGATTTCCATTTCAGGATATATATATATATCATAATACACAAGACAGTATTTCATCCACACTGGCTAAGGTCAGTGTCTTTGTAAGTCTGACAACATTTTTGGCGTTAAACACAATACGAAGGGGAAACATGAAAGGAGAAATGTCGAAAACATACATCAGCATCAAGAACAAAGAGCAGATTATCTATCAGCTGGAACTTCTTTGCACCTACAAAAGAGAAAGCAAGGTGTACAAGGATTATATTCTGCATTACATATAGCTATGTTTAAATAGTAAAGTAATATTTATGGACAAAAAGTTCCCATTCTCATTTATTCCTGTTTCTATATTTTTTAGATGATCACTAAAATGTAAACCCCCCCCCCCAAAAAAAAGAGTAACAAAGGCAAAACATATCAAGAAAAAGTCATTTATGTGGAAAATTATCAATTTAATCTGCCTCGTTTCAAAGAGAGGTTTAGTCAAGGACCCAAAAGCCAGACTCAGAATATTGACATGAACATTAGAACTCACTAATAATTACCAAAAGTAGTTTAATTAACTTATTTTACCTTTAATAATCTCTGCATCAATAACATTCTTAACTGTCATTTCTTTCTTGAGCGGATCTGGCTCCCATTTGGAGATTGCACAATTACCAGTTCCCTACAGAAGTGACAACAGTATGTCAGTGGCAAATTTCATTCTTAGAGCTGCATCCTTCTCAAAGTGGAAACACCTAAGTCGTACACATTACTAATTTCAAAATATATACTTATATATTCAAACCCAACTCGCTTTCATCTTGTAGTTCCTCTTTGTTTTCAACAGGACAGAATGAAAAGGACAGTGAGCTGTTGGTATCTGTTGTGTTCGCACAAATATTTAATAAGGAGTATGTATATTCAGGCAACTCACTCTAAAGCCATGAGCTAAACTTTATTTTATGTTTTTAACATATTTTTATTGATTTCAGAGCGGAAGAGAGGGGGAGAGATAGAAACATCAATGATGAGAGAGAATCATTGATCAGCTGCCTCCTGCACGCCCCCCACTGGGGATGGAGTCTGCAACTCGTCCCCTGACCAGGAATCGAACTGTGAACTCCAGAAATAGGACCTAGTTCATACGTGGACGCTCAACCACTGAACCACACTAGCTGGCCATGGGGTAAACTTTAACCTCGCATGTAAATTTGGCAAGTAAAAATGTTGTTAAAAGTGCCCTAAACAAAAAAAAAAAAAAAAAAAATGCCCTAAACAGTTTGGCTCAGTGGATAGAGCGTCGGCCTGCAGACTGAAAGGTTCCAGGTTTGATTCCGACCAAGGACATGTACCTTGGTTGCGGGCGCATCCCCAGTGGGAGGTGTGCAGGAGGCAGCTGATCGATGTTCCTCTCTCATCGATGTTTCTAACTCTCTATCCCTCTCCCTTCCTCTCTGTGAAAAATCAATTAAATATATTTTTAAAAAATGTTGTTGAATGCTGTAATTACTCTGAATCTTTGCCTACTCCTTAAATATAATAGTAGAGGTTTTATTTGTTGTTTTTGTCTATATTCATAATTAAAAGAAATCATAAATTTCAGTAGAGATTTATGAAAATAAAGATGCAGTATTTTTTCAATATAGAAACTCAGGTTTACTTATTAATTTTGTGAACTTAATTTTATAATTCCTATTTCTGTTACCGGTACACATCACAAATCAATTTGTAATTTAACCAAAACAATGTTTTAATGAAAAAACATTTCGGAAACAACAAACAAACATTTTATAAAAAGAATTATTACCCCAATGATCATAGGGATTTTGCTTGCTAAATCTCCAGCCACAAGACTCAGACAATCAAGAGTATGATACTTTTCAGTAGAAATGAAACTGGACTTGATTTGTCCTTGTAACTGCAAAATTTAAAAAATAAGAATGTTATACATAGACTCCACAGTCCAAATGCCTTGAAAAGATTGATAAAAATCTTTTTAAACCAATGAATTATATTTTTATAAAAACGGAAATGTTATTAATATGTTATATCATGCTAATTCCCAAAAGTTCAACCAGTAGACAATTAAATCCAGAAACACTCCTCAATTTTCATGAAGTCTAAGTTTTAAGAAGATAAGGCAATTTTATTTTCTTACCTTTTTTGCTTTATTGAAGTCTGCATTTTCAATCGCTGTATGAAAAAGAGAAGGCAGGCTAAACTTGTAGTATTAACCTATACAGCACATACAAGTCGCCCCTTTTGGGTCAAAGTGAAATTACATGCAGTCTAGTGAGAAAAACACTGGTCAGAAATTAATACGACAGTGGTGACTTTTCCCTTTTGCCCTTGACCAACGATATAAACTGTGACCCGTTGTGCTCAGAGCACCCACCTGCCTGCCTGACGGTTCCTACACGTTCCCTTCCTTTCCGTTCCTATTGAAAGGGTCTTCTATTAAAATAGGCTCCAACTGTCCTATTCAAGCTCTGAAGTCATCACTTTGCACGTTTTGGAAGAGCTACTTTATTTGACTCGTCTTTCGTTGAACTGGAGAGGTATGTACCTTAAAACTTGTTGTATTCCCCAGACGTTGCACATTTTTGGCACAGAGTAGATTTAAACATATGTATTTGTTGAATACATGCCCCCAAACATTCTTCAATCTCTCTTAGCTCAGATGGGATGTATGGTCCACACTACTCACTTAGCACATAGTAAGTTACTGTTAAGTTAGTTTTGTTAACTATATTGTTAATACTTATTTAGTCATTTCTGTTTCTGAGTTCATTCATTCCATCAAAAAGCATTTATTGCTCCCTCTTGCATCTCGGCCATCAACGTGCTATCCAGACTGAGGAAGACCTGGACACCTTGGGGCCATGTGAGCCACAGCTGTGGCCCCGTTGGCAAGCAACAGGAGCAGCCAGGAGGCCGAGTTTATGCTGCTGGCTTGCATCATCATCACAGGACCAACTTCAACAAATACCGCCCGAGTTACTCTGGGAAAGTTGGCATGAGGCATTACGACTTAAAGAGAAGCCAGAGCTTCTGCCCACTGTCAACCCTGGTAAAGTGTGGACCTTGGCCAGTGAGCAGCCCTGTAAATGCTGCCAACAACCAGGCAGGAGCTGCTCCTATCGATGAAGTGATTCCATCAGCTACTACAAAGCCGGAGTGGGGGCGTTGGAAGGCTCCCACAGCAGCCTGTCACGGTGAAGGCCACGTTCAGCTTGAAGCCACACGGAGGGAGGGAAGTTCAGTAAATGCTTACAAGTAATTAAACAATTTAAAAAGCATTTATCAATACACTAGTGTATGTCTTGTCTCTCCAACTAAGCTGTAATCTCCTTGGAGGCTATAAACAAATTATATTTCTTCAGATTCTGTTGCAGCCCTAACAGTGCAGAATAAGTATATTACAAATACATAAAAGGTATATTCAGTATCATATAGAATGTAATTGAACTAAAATAATATTCTTAAAGAGAACATTTAAAAATTCACCTGGAGGACTAGTAAGAAATATTGCCACAAATCAATAATAAGAAAACAATACATTACTTACCTTGCTGAATTTTTACCAGCTGAATGTTTGTAATATAAAAAAATCCATTGTTTGTAAGCAGCAGCATATAATAGGTACCTATTAAAATAAAACCAACCCAGTTTCTCTAAAAGTACGTGAATATAAAGTTTAAGCCAGGATCTGAACCCAGCTTAAAAGTATGTTAATTTGCTCATTTAAATTCTAATCATCAAATAATAATAATACAGATAAAACTTAATTACAATGAACTGCAAAAACAATGTTAGCTCCTGTGAAGCTTTTATAAAGCAAACTTCACTTTCTAGAAAGAAAAAACAAAAAACCTCAGATATATAAAAATAAATTAGCCCTGTGTTTTGGCTCAGTGGATAGAGCGTGGGCCTGCGGACTGAAAGGTCCCAGCTTCGTCTGATTCCAGTCAAGGGCATGTACTTTGGTTGCGAGCACATCCCCAGTAGGGGCTGTGCAGGAGGCAGCTGATCGATGTTTCTCTCTCATGGATGTTTCTAATTCTCTATCCCTCTCCCTTTCTCTCTGTAAAAAATCAATAAAATATACTAAAAAATTAATTAATTAATTAATTAAGGTTCAGTTAACATTTGTTGAAATGGAACTATGACAAATATGCTGGAACCCACAAAAAAATTTTTTTTAAAGAATATAATGTCTCCTTACTGATCTATTGAACTGTCAAAACTAAAAATTAGTTTAGAATATTATATTTAGGAAAAGTACATTTAAGTCTCTGAAAGAAACTACAATAAAAATTTGTTTCTTACAATGGTATTGATCACATCACTAGAAAATTTAACACTGTGTAGGTAGCATAATAATGAATTTACATAATTCATTTACTATAAATCTGATTTTTTGATTGGGTATTAAAAGACATAAAAAATTTCAAAAAACTTACCTTCACTTGAACCATCTTTCTCAATAACAAGAGTTCGGTAGGTACACTGATCTTCATCATTAGCTTTCTGAACAAAAGCCTATTTGCAAATTAATTTCATATAAGATTAAGCCCAGAAAAATATAATCAAGAATTATATTTTTTAAAATCACAGAGCTATCGATTATCATTAGCAATAACGCTGCCAAACATTTTAGTTTTAAAATGAAAAACCATTTTGAACAAGCATACTAAGAATATTTGCAAAGCTTAATTTTACAACTTGGCATTTACTTCATATATGTTTCTAAGGCATGATTCTTAAATTTAATATAGAGCAACATTATTCTTTTAATTTAAAACACAAATTAAGTTGTGCTTTGCTCAAGTTTTTAGTTGTCTAAGAGATCATTTAGAATTTAGATAAAAGAAATGAAAAACAAAATAGGGTCTTACGTTGGTGAGCAAAGTCTGCTTGGATGTCACATGGATAAAATGTAAGTTGCCACTCCTCTCCCCAACCAATAGGAACTGTCCTTCTTGACATAAGCCAACTACATCCACTTTCGTATCTGAAAATTTGAAATTGAAGTTACTAGCTACCTTTGAAAATGTTTAGTTTCAAAACAAAAAATTATTCATTCTGTCATTACAAGTCAACTGTTCAAGCTTTGTTTAAATATTTTTTTAAAAATTTGTAATCAAAGTAGAAAAGAATGCTACTGACTCTTCATCAGTCAACAAATATTTACTGAACTGCTTCTGTGCTAAGCATTGTTCTAGGCCTTCTGCACAGTTGAGAATGTGAGTATCATCTTCATGGAGCTCAAATTTTAAGGCAATAATAAAGATGATAAACAATGAGCATACTAAAATTATGTGGCATGTAAGATGGTGATAAATTCTCTGGAAAAAAAGAAAAAGTAGAACAGGGAAA